GGACATCTATCAACCGAACGCGTCCCCGTACACACAGCACTGTACGCAGGGCTATACAAACAAGTGCTACTTCCGGGGGTCATAGCCATGCCTTGGGATAATGCATCATCAGTCATATGACTCTGTGTCATGCCTCATTTGAATAGGGGTCGTTCAAAGGTCAAGAGCCAGGAAGCTCCCTCTGACCAGCTGGAGGCAGGCATGAAACAAGTGAAGCATATGTTGCCTGTTAATATTAATTAATTCTACTGATTTACAAAAAATATATAACTTTGTCAATATCCATAATGTACAATGAAACGCTCAAACAGTTAAAATATTTGATAATCCCACCTGCAACCCCGCTTAAGAAATCTTACGATTTTCACTGACTTTTCACTAAAATTAAAAATGAATTAAATTAAGAAAAAAAAAGAACATTTCGCTTCACTTGTAGACAGCGGCCACAGTAACCTCAGTTTCCATAGCTTCGTTTCGGTTTTTTTTTCCCGATTCAAACATTGAATATTGAATATCGTCAACAGATTCTCTAAAGCGAAGCCGTGGAATCCATGGGCTGTACAAGGCGCCAGCCAGGTACATGACATTTTAACACGATTTTACACTGACACTGAAATATGGTCAGCACAATTTAAGTATGGATGTCCATAGGTTACCATACTATTAGAAACCAATCTAGACGTAGTTAATGGGTGAAACTGATCTTAAAACAGAGCACAACAGACCACAGAAGAGACATTACGTCAATAAACCCGTGCAGTGACAGTTCTATCTCAACTTTCGAGAATCAACGAGACTCTTTTTCAGTCAGTGCGGTTTAATATAGGATAAAATAACGAAATGATTAAGTCTTACCCTCAGTAATAAGATAATAATCCAATGGATCACGGCAAACTGACTTCAGATTTCGTCGTCAAATGAAATGCAGTTCCTCTTACTTCGAATGGCGATATTTGTTGTGCGGAACGTCACTGATCATGGGATCCATGACGTCATATTCTATGAAAGTTAAAAATAGAAATAACCTTTAAACTATAAATATTTTTCAAATATTAATCGTCAAAACTACAGACATTATCGGATTATCTAAATAACAATTCTACAAACCAATGATGAACTAAATTTTACAATTTTGTCTTAAATATGATATTATGTTTGAATTGAATTCTAAATTCTTTATAGTTCATACGCTACTTTAATTGCAACACTTCTCGCGAAGTCGCGATGTTTACGAGACTTTACAACCGGAACACCGAACAGACTGCAGACACATTTTGCAAACATCACACTCCTTGGAGGACGACTATTTGATCGAAAATGGAGTGTTTGATAGGAATTCAAGGACCGGATTTTGTTTTAGTGGCATCAGATACAGTGTCTGCGCGCAGTGTTCTTGTTTTTAAACAAGGTAAATGAAGCATTTATGTTTCTTACACTGTCACTTCGTTGTATTTTGTTTTGAAGTGTGACTTGCATTTTCACACATTGCGTTTATTTTGATGGCGATTCTCGATTAATTAATTGACACTATGGTCCGTAACATTTTGGAGCCCGCCCCCTCTTTTACAAATTTGGAAAGAGTTCTTTTGCACCCCACCCTTACCTTCCAGCGCTCCCTCAATTTTAATTGTATATGCGGCATGCCGACTATAGTTATTTAGAGGAGACATGTACAATTAAATTGGATGGCTGGGAGGAGTTTGGGTTATAAGTGGGTGCAAAAGAACTCTTTCCACAAATGACGTAATTTAATCATAGATGTATTCTATATGTCCCTCCAGATATCTGTGTGTCCTCAAGTGGGTCATACAATTATAATCGGAGAGGGGTACTGGAGAAGCAGGGCTAGGATTAGAAGTATTTGTGAGGGAGTCATTAGAAACTCTTACCAATACAGACTACAAATACAAGTATTATAACCTGTCAATTCATTATTGTTTTCATAAAAGAATTTGCTTTCCCTGCTGTGTAAAAAAATTATCTGCAAAATAGTTGTAGGTGCTGCTTTTTTTTTTTTTAGATGTGCTCATTTTGATATTTACCTGAAAATTTACCTGTTTTCCGCTTTTTTTTTTAAATTCTTTTTTGCTGCGATTTGTAAATTTTATGGCATTCGTGATGAAAAAATGTTGTAAAATTCACTGACACTTTGCATCATTGAGGCCCCTCGAAAAATTTTCACTTCTACAAATTTTGTGAAATTTTCAAACAAATAAACAGCAGACTGGCAGCTTTTTCTTTGTTAGTTTTTTGTTTAACAGTTACCATGGCCATTGTTCAGAGAAAAAGTTTGTATGTCTGCTGCTTAGCTGAACCCTCACAATTATTGCAAGGTTTGATTGTTAACCCTGTCTATGAACTTTCAGCTGTAGTGTCAAAATAAAGACAAAATATTATTTCTATAGTTTTATATTATAAATATTATTAGTGTTCTGTATTACACGGTTAGACACAGTTTATCAGAAATTAAAAATTGAATTGCCTTAATTTTAACCTCAGCAAGTTTTTTTTTTCTCCTGTGCATTTGTTTATGCCAGTATAAAATAACTAAGATAAAATGTTTCTCTTCATGACTGCTACAAATTGTGTAATTTTTCCTAACTCTCAACAATATTTAACATAAGGTTGTATATAATATAACAGTATTGTATCCTACAGGACTTGATGTTAACTTTTAAATTCTTTTGAAAGAAACATATTTTCTCTATTAGTATTGCATGTGCTTACAAAGTGTTTCTATAGTCAAAATAAGTAATATTTTTATTCAGTGTATAACAAATGTGATTTGGGGCTTGTATGCACATCTAGTGGAGATGTGCTTCTAATAGAGCAAGTACAGTTAAGACAATTAAGTGAGTTGTTGTTCAAATGGCAATTTTATACTTGTCCTCGTCAGGTTCTGTTAATCAACAAAATTATTCAAATTCAATGTGCGTTATTTGTGTGACAATTAACAAACTTCAATTTTGTTTTCAGATCAAGATAAAATGTTCAAATTGAGCGATAAGCTGGTAATGTTATGCGTGGGTGAATCGGGCGATACAGTACAGTTTGCAGAATATATACAGAAAAATATCCAGCTTTATAAAATGAGGAATGGTAAGTTGCAATTTAGGGGGCCTTAAGGAACACTTACCAAAATGTCGTTCATTTTGTCCATCTTTGTTAACAGTGAATTTTGAGTAATGTACATACAAATGTGAAAAGAAAAGTGATGGCATTCAAAAAGGATTCAGCAACTACAGCTTCAAAATATGCTGTAAGCAGCTGGGCTTCCATCAACCTATCATCAGTCACATCAGTGTATTTTATGCGCATTGTGTACGTTTAAGAGTCCAATATCGAACACGACATGGTTCAGCAACTGTAGCACTGAAGCAGTTTAAAATAACCTTGTAGAGGGCGCTGTCACCTATTTGTAAAACTAGAAACAGTAGAGACTGCATTATCTTTTTTTTTGTAGGTTATGAATTATCACCAAGTGCTGCAGCAAACTTCACAAGAAATAACTTGGCACAATATCTGCGTAGTAGGGTAAGTGTCATAGCACCCAGTTTTCAATCAAACAAACAGTTGCATCACTGTTCTTTTTTTTAATATCATTGAATAAATAATTAAACATGTGTACATTTTTTCATTTAGGTGGAAGAAGGTAAACAGTGATTCAAATACTAGTAGGTTATTTTCTGTTCAGCTGCAAGATCTCGCATATTACCGGAAAGACGCGGCTGTACGTCTGTCGCAAAAAAAGAACAATTTGATTTTGAACTTGAATTTCTTTTTCTTTTTTTCATAGCTCAAAGTCAAAAGGCTGATCTTTGACAGGGGAATATTGCTTTTAGATACACTTACTTTATCGAAATGTACCATCAAATGTGTACAACGCATTATTAAGCATGGAATTATCCCCCAATACTTTCGCATTTGTTGAATCCTACGCGATGTTTGTCGCCACCACGACACTATTACCTTTATTTGTCGTGTTTTACGTTGATTGCACGGACAACGAGATATCTAGCATTGAATAGAAAATTATCTATTATTGTCTACAAAAATGGCATGAAGTTGTTTTTAATGTTTGTTCTATTTTTTTTTTTGCACTTGCAATCTTTTGTTTAGAAGTGGAGTCGAATGTTACATTTGTGAAATGCACATGTATTATTAACCATTCTGAATGCTGTGTTGTACTAACCCAATAATCCAGAAATTATCGAATATTGGCAATTACATGGAATTGCACAATCGTAAAAAGTAAACTGTTGGCACTGATTTCAACAATAAGCAGAGAAATTTAAAAAAAAAATGGTGATTCACAATCAAGTGTGGAGAAGTACTTGCACCATTCACAATGTCAATAGGTCACGTCAAAGCATAGTTTGCCAGTGTCCACCCTATTCACGATAATCTCATGCACATGTTTAACTGTGTCCAATGAACAGGTTTCATGCAACATTAAGTAATAACAGAACAGAAAGAGAGCAAGCCATGTTGTGGTGTTCGCCATATACACTTGAAATTATGCAAGTTTTTCTCATAAACACAAACTAAATGGCCCATCACACACAACTTCTGTACAAATCATGATCATGCATGCCCTGAAGTTGGTAAATCTCTAAAAATAGGGGATAGACAGTATAGTATAGTAGACGAATTATTTTGTTTTTGCAGACCCCATATTCTGTTAATATGTTGATAGCTGGATACGATGATAAATCAGGGCCAGCATTGTATTATATGGATTATTTAGCCTCGTGTAATCAAGTACCGTATGGAGCACATGGTTATGGATCATTTTTCACTCTTAGTGTTATGGATAGATACTATAAGAAAGGTACGTCAAGTTCTTATTTTCAGATATAATAAAAATGAAAATAAATCAGTACTGTGTTTGTTTTATATATTACTAGAGTACAATGTATGAGCTTAGATGTACATATCGATTACCGACTGACTTTGCTACAGTCCTGACATATTTACACATACATCTAGAAATAATGTAAATACTGTAAACCATAATAATTTCGCTGCTAGAAATATTCACGATTTTGTGTTTGCAGAGTTTTTAGCGACGATAAATTTTCGCGATTTTAACTTGAGGGAAAAATTTTAAAATGGCAAATGGGTGCTTTGTTTTGGAAATTCAAAAGGACTGTGGTGTGACCGGATGTCGCACATGTGCAGGAAATGGTTGATACTAGACATAGACATGTCTATCACTGTATTTCACACTTTCATTGTAATATTGTGCATTTAAGCCTGGGTTTTGGGAATTGTGTCTCAGTATTCGAGTTGTTTTCATCGAGCGTACTGACTTCCTTACGTTTCACGATGTTGCGCTATCTCATACGAAATCCCGATGCTACCACCGTTAGGCCTGGTCTTCCAGATCCAGTGTCAACTGACAATCCCGATGAAACATATCAAGCTAATGAAGAAGTCTTCAAAGTTCTCACAACCCTGGGTTCTCGTGGCAGAAAACGAAAGCGTCGACAGTATGAAGTTTATAGTCCAAATTTGCAGCAGAAAATGGCAATTCCAGAGCAGTGCGCCACTTCACTGTCCATCAATGAAAGTACCATTCGATCTATGAAAGAAGTCTACATCAAAGAAGTCCAAAAATCAAGAACTCAACCAGTAACCAGTATTCATCATGCTAAGTGTGGTTGACCTCTACTTTTAGGCGAACTTGATTCTCAAGTGAAGCGATATGTAAATAACGTCAGAGACTCGGGGGGGGGGGGCATCGTCAACAGAAACATCGTGGTAGCAGGGGCACGTGGTATTGTGTTGCAGCGTAATCGGTCTCTGCTCCAAGAATTTGGTGGTCCTATCGTATTGACACGTACTTGGTCAGAGTCATTGCTGCAAAGGATGGGTTACATGAAACGGAAAGGGACAAAAGCTGCTAGAAAATTACCGGGCAATTGTGATGAACTTAAGGAGTCTTTCTTGGAACGCATCACGAACGTAGTTTCCCAGGAGGCCATACCGTTCGAGTTGGTGATAAATTTTGACCAAACTGGCGTACACATTGTCCCAGTTAGTTTGTGGACATTAGCCAAGGAGGGAGAGCGACAACAGTGTTCTCCCCAGACTTCATGTCAAGCATCACGGCCAATTTGCATAACAATACATCTAATTTGCATAATTTTTATTTGCATAGTAATCAGTTTTTCCCAACAAATATTGTCAATCTACAATTAATTAAAGACAAGATATTTTTATATCTGATAAATGTTATATCATTTTACTGCATTGTATTTTATGTTTTTGTATCAAGTCAAATAAAGTTTGAAAT